CTTTTGGGTTCCTCATGTTGGTTTCATCCTTCTAAGTGTTAGAAGTCGATACCACACACGCGAAACCACAAAAGAGTACAGAAACGGGTTGAATTTTTTTTTAAAATGAGGCGGGTCCCATTTCTAAGGTTCTAAGATAGTCGAAGGGAGATCCCTAAGGCTAGATCCTAAACCCTAAGCGGAAGACTAGACCTCGCTAAAAATGAGGTCAACAGTGTAATAGAACAACACATAAGAAGTTGTCACTGAAGCTGTAGGAGAGGGGGGGGAATTATATTTGAAGCTGTTTCTCGTTATCCAAATAAACCAAAGGACCAGCAAAGGAAGGGAAAACCCTCCCCCTTATCATCAAAAGTCTTTTATTGCCACAAATAAATACTTAGGATGCTTTTATGGATCCAGGGGATACCAAAGTGTAAGCCCAATATATTCTAAACATTCAAAGAAAAAACATATTCAAAAAATATGTCTCGAATCTTCCTCCGAGACTTTGCACATAGGACATCTCGAAGCCAATTTAAGGCCTTTCAACTTTAGAATGTCATCAAGAGGCAGTAAAGAAGAGAAAAATCGCCAGAGGAAAAAGATGGAGGGAGTTAAAAGTTTGTGTCAAATCCATTTTCCCCAAAACCAATCCCGGTAAGAGTGTAAAGTATCATAGATTAACTTGCAGACCGATTGAGAAGTGGTCCTCTTCCACAAGGGGAAATCCCTGCGAGAATGGGTAATAGGTATAGTATTTATATGCTTAGCATTTTGCTCCCCCACAATAGAACACAGTTTGTTGAAATCTCATCTATCTTGAGAAAAGAAATCAGAAACAAGTAAGTTATTAGTATGGGGAGGATGAGAATATTCAGAGAGAAAAGGCAATCCCCAATTATCACTCCAGAAAGAGATGTTACCGTTACCAATGTCCCAAAACATAAAATCACTAGCAATAGACCTAGCATTAACAACAGCTTTCCAGATCCGAGAATCACCAACCTTTCATAAAACCTGGGAAGGGTGAGAAAAATCACAGTATTTCTGATGCATAAAAGTGGCTCATAGAGATAAGCCCATTCTAAATTTAAATCAGAGTTTGCAAAGGTTTATTTCAATCGTGTGTTTCAAGGCTTTAAAGCCAAAACCGCCAGCCTTCTTAGGCTTACAAAACCTTTGCCTAGAGCCCCAAATTTTCTTAGCACCCTTTCCCACCCAAAGGAATTTATTGAAAAGCCTCTCCATGACATTAATAACACTTTTCTTCGGATTAAACACCTGCAAAGCATATAAAGTAATACTCTGAAGCACACTAGATAACAATGTTATCCTGCCCCCAGTAGAAAGGAAAGCATTTCTCCAATCGTTAATTTTACACTTGATTTTATCAATAACATCATCCATATGAATCTAAAGCCTCTCCATGGCATTAATACACTTTTCTTTGGATTAAACACCTGCAAAGCATATAAAGGAATACTTTGAAGCACACTAGATAGCAATGTTATCCTGCCCCCAGTAGAAAGGAAAGCATTTCTCCAATCGTTAATTTTACACTTGATTTTATCAATAACATCATCCATATGAATCTGTTTCCTCCTTCCCCTAGTCAAATTAACCCTAAGGTATTTAAGAGCGAGAGAGGCATAGTGATTACCTGTATAAAAAATCCCCCAATGAATAAGTTGCTGCTTAACTTGTGTGCCAAAATACATCTGGCATTTGTCACAATTAAAAACTAGTCCAAAACAATTCTGGAAATCATTTAAGAGCCTCATTAATTGTTTTAATGCAAGTTTAGAGGCATTAGCAAAAATAATAACATCGTCCGCGTAAGCAAGGTGAGAAACCACCATTTTGGCCTTACCAAACATCCTTCAAGCCTTTTTCCATTTATGTAATATCATAATTGCAAAATTCCAAGATTTTTGAACAACCCAGGGCTTCGATATTATTCCAAATAACTCTAATAACTAACTTGGATTAACTGCTTAATTGACCACTTGCCTTCTATATTTAAAACACAAATCTTTAGAAACTTAATCACCCAAATAACTTAGGTTATTAGACCTCTAATTTCATCATAAATTGGTCACATTTTTTTTCACGGAACAACTATGACGTAAATCAAAGGCTGCAAGATTCAACCCTGAAGCGACCTATATACTTATACAATACCTCAAATTAAGATTTGTTTGGGATAGCTTTCTACTGCTTTGCGTTTCAAATCACCACCACTGCTCTGTTTGGGAACTGATTTCTTATTGTTTTCTAAAATTTTTTTTAGAGTGAAGTTGTATTTTCAACCTGATCTGTTAAAGCATGGTGACTATAAGAAAACAGTTAACTGATTTTTCGATAAAAAATATATATATTTATAATTTCTACAGCAAATTTCTAAGAAATTGTTTTCTCCACCACAGGTTTACAATCACATTTTAAAAAAGCTACAATCATCACTAGCAGGTATGGAGAGGAAAACCAGTATATGGGAAACAAATGGGCTGACATTTTTTTTTACTAAATTTAAAAAAGCTAAGCATCATTTTCCTTTTCTCTTACTCTTCTTTCTGCAAGTTAAGTGAGGTTTGTAACTTCACCAGTTCAAGAATATATACAAACAAACCACCAATAACTTCTGCCATATAAGATAAATAAAATAAATTAAATTAAAAACTAAAATAAAGTCACAAAAGCTTCTTATGATACTAAAAACATACAACAAAATTCCTAACATAACAGAAGGCATTCCAAAGCACACAAATATAATGCTATTATGGGACTAAAAGATTTGAAATAAGCAGCAACACCCTGCAAATAAGATAAACTATTCTTCTATTTGAACTCATAACAATCAGAATACCAAAGGTTACCTAACAAATAGTCCACACTGTCCTTTGTCAAAGCCCCTATCTTATTACCAAAAACAAAAAAAAAAAAAAAACAAAAAAACTACAACTATATAATAATTTCTCTAAAAAATACATCTTAAATTCATGATGCTTTTAGGGAAGGAAAACATAATATTCTCTACAAGTTATGCCAAAAACAAGAGCATTAAAGGGTCAAGCAAATATGAACTTCAAAACACTAAAAGCAAATTGTACCCCAAAAAACAGCATATAAATTTCATACTGTCCCTAAAAAAGCAAAAAATAGGCTAATTAGTCCATACATTTAAAGTAACAAATAAGAAAGCAAAAAAGGAAAACAGCACATACCTTCTGTATGGTGGTCTGGCTACAAAAAGTTGAGAAGTACCTAAAAACTCATCATTCATTACTTCCTTTCCTTTCCCTTTATCAGCAGTCCTGCCTTCAGAACGCATTCGGTGTACAGGCTGACAAGAGTTATTGTCATGCTTTTCAATTGAAACGGCATTTCGTGCGTCAATCCCTTTATCCTTCGCATCATTCTTATATCTTGCTACGTTGGATGGAGAAATGCACCCATTACGAACTAGCCTCTTATGCCCCATATTTTTTACTCGCAAAACCAACTCTTCGGGCCTAAGATCTGTTGACCTCGTGATAGGTCGAGAAACTGTGCCCACTCCAGCTCCAGCTCCTGCATCAATGTCATGATTGGAAGAACTTCTCTGCTCATTAGTAGCTTGTGAGTTCAGTTTTTGAACAATAGTCTTTTGAAATTTGGGATTTTGTGCCTCATCAGTGTTACTGGAGCTAACAAAATCTTTTGAGTTGCTTGCAATATGCTTCGCTTTCCTAAGAACCTCCATTGATGCTGATGAACTTAAACCAGGTTTACGATAACCAGTGATTTGATTTCTTTCTCTCTGCCCGCTTAGATGCTTCTCTTCTTCCTTGTTCCTTGAGCTTCTGCATCTAATAGGGGTATCCTCACTCAAATCAATAGTCTTCAGATTCGTCTCATTATGAGGGATTTCAGAAATAACTCGAGCTATTCTGGCTTGAGAGAACAAAAAATCATTATCCGCAGGTGTAATGCCATTACCATTAAAGCCATGGAGAGTAGAATTCTTCATTTGGCGAGAGTAGGTTCGGGTCACTGGCTCCAAATAATGGTTAGAAGAAGATGTTTTATCATCAATTCCACGGGTACATGAAGCCCTCTCAGGAGTATCTGGAACTTCCATCACCATATCAGAATCCATCCTTTTTAAACTACAGAGATTCCCAAATGTTGCAGGTAGCCAATATCCAATTCAAAAATCTCTATGAACAAACCTGGTGAATGTGTGCCGATACAATAAACCTTAGAATTAACAATAGATGGAAGCTAAGAGCGTCCATTTTCAGAAAAATTGAAGAAAATTATACAGAGCAAAAATAAACACCAAAACCCTAGAAAAATGATGAAGGCGCAGTAAGCAATTTATGGGTGCACACGTGATTTATAGCAAAATAAAAACAAACATAACAAAAACTGAATTTTCTCACATTTTGTGAGGACTTCAAGTCCCAAAAATAAGGATCAGAGATCAAGCGTGGATAAGGTTTTAGGGCAAATTATGCAGTAACACAAACAGGTTCACAATCACCGAAATAAGAAGAAATCTAACGGGATAAAAGCTAACAGCGCATTAGCCTTATAATCTGTAAGAACTAACTAAAATCTGTACCAAATTGAAGGAAATCAGCAATTAATTTTTTAAAAAAACAAGAAAGGACTAGATCAAGAACATGTGCCGAATCATAATATTCTGATAAGAAATTCAAATCAAAATAATAATAATAATAAATCTAGAGAAACTACCTTCGGAACAGAATCGAACGCGCCAACAGTAGATTGAATCCTCACGGAACCAATTCCTACCGCTTCCCTTCGCATCTATGAGCAGCCCTTTCCCTCTTCCCCATTCCTTTCGTAAGCGCGTCGAGATTCGTGCTACCCAGGATAAACAGCGGCGGTAATTCGAGCTGTTTACCGAAAAAGTAATGCACTGTGAATTTGTTATATTTAGAATATATCCGAATTAATTGGATCTTATGTTATTCATTTAATTTGAAATAGATCGAAGATAATGTGTTTCATAGTATGGTCTTTTATACATTATCAAACTATGATAATGGAGGTCGGTTTTGGTCGATAGAGGTCAAAAGTGAGAAAATATTGCATTTGAAGTACGAATTCTAATTAAAATTTGACATGTTTCTATCTAAAAAGTGTAGAAACCTAAAATTCATCCCGATCATGGAATACAACATTATTTTATTGAAGATTTTTTTTAGTACAAGCATGTTGTTTTATATGACTTTCACATTAAATTATTTATTTTGATGTTTTTTTTTAATTATTACAACATGGTTATACTGAAGAAAAACTTATAGTACAATCATGTTGTACTCCACATTCTGATTACGTTTGGACTCCAGAAGTAATATTTTCTTCAAAGGACCGCCTGACAACAGTGGCGGTTGTTGACGATGGTTGACAGGGAGTGGGCGGGGACAACGAGTTGCAGCAGTGATGGTGCTTTTGCAGGGTAGCGAGGGCAGTCACCTGCACGGAGATGGCAGATGGCCTGTAACATTTTACATGAAGCTGTGTATTTAGAATTCTACTAAATCCGACAACTTTCAAATATAGAAATAATGTTCTAATGAATTAATTATTGCAACCAAACATCTGATCATTACAAAAAATAAATTAAAAATATTTAAAATTTAATTATGACATCATATATATTATTATAATTTATCTGAACATAACAATTGATATAACTTTAATTTAAAATACTTTTTATTAAAATTTTATTGTAACATTATAAGTTAAGTTGGTACTTAAATTACATCTATTAATATTTTTTATTTATACTTAATAATGGGCTTTATAGTACAACACCAATTTATAACTTTTAATAAGTTTATTTAATTTTTATTGTCCTATTTAATTTTAATTTTTTAAAAATTTCCTTTGCAACTTATTGATTGAAAGTATAATACAAGGCTAATTAAAGGTCAAATTCAAAATAGTGGATCTTATTAGTTCAAAAAATTTGTAAATAATTTCAATATCCCTAGCTTGGAAATCATACATATCATATCACTCAAGTACATTGGCTATTTTTTACACATTCATCTATGAACCAACACTTGTTATAACATATGGATGGCATAGGCCACAATTTAAAAAATATATTCCAACATATAAAAGTTATTCATCATATTATGACATTATCTTTATTTTTTTAATTTTATTTTTTTATATTTATTTAAATAATTAAATCGATCATTACGAGGGGCATACGATTGAGAGATAGTGATTCGAAAAGACCACATTGTCATAGGAACATTGAGAAGATTCATCAAAATAAGTCAAAAAAACAAAAAAAGAGAAGCACAAAAAATTCTATGTACTCAAGATCCTATAATTTCTTGGTTATAAATGGTATTATCAGGTTGTTATGTTATAATCTTTAGACCAACATTTAAGGAAATTCCATATAATAATGTCATAACTCATGATTTCATTGCAATGATTTTGTATGTTTAATATCAATTTTAAACAAGCTTCCCTATTTATATGAAAGGAGGGCATCTAAAAAGCGAGCTAGAGAGATTAACCAAATGAAAGAGAGCTTTTATGAAACGTTATGGACTTGAAGAGTTGGATTAAGACAAGAATCAAAGAAGCATCATCTTCCATCTTTGGGATCCTTGACTTTTCTTATTTGTGGAATGTGATTGTTTCTTAGGGTGCATTTGGGGCAGCTTGTGTATTTCAGGATAAACAGTTTATCCTGAAATACAAGCAGTAGTTCGACCCCCGTTTTCGGATAAACAGGCAAAACGAGCAATCCAAACAGTACAATGACGTTTTTAAAAACGTCTCTGCACTTATAAGCTGCCCCAAACGGGCCCTTACTCTAAAATTATAATCAAGGCTAGTAACCCCATTATAATCTCACCAACTTGACATGTTAGGCAAATCTCTATTGATGTCCATTAGAGGTAGTTGCCCATTTTCTTCAAAAAAAATTGTCATTTAATTTATCCTCAAGTATGAATAGTATGTCATTAAGTGTGTAAAACGTTTTCTACCTCATCATCCAATGTTAAAGGCTCTGCTGGCTTTATGCTGTGTATATATATATATATCCTTTTATCTTCTTCTTGAAGTGTCAAAAGTCAATAATATCCTCTTATTTCATTATTGTGGTTTTTTTTTTTTCAATAGCATGCACCTAAGTTCTACTAAAACCTAGTGTTATGATACTAAATGCTCAATGTATCACAACCAATAAAACATCAAGAAGTGATTCATATAACATACTGAGCAGACAATTAAGAAGTTATATTGCTAACATTGATTGCTATTTTGGAGCAAAAATTAAAAAAAATAACCATGTTTCATTGATAAAATAATTATGTTATTATAAAGAATGAATATGAGGATGCATTCTTTTATTCCTTCCCTCACTATAATCCTTCAATGTCATATTCACTTTCTCTAGCTCCATATATATCTCATATGATGTCTTTCTATATAAATAGTGATGGTGGTGGTTGATTTTTTGGTGGGAATGACTTTGTTTTTGTAAAATCATATTGGTTGGGAAGATCAACTCAAATATATGTGCATCATATGTCTGTGATTTATGTAAAATCTAAATTAGAATATGAGGACTTCCCTGAAATAAGAATTGAGGAGTAGTCATTGATGATATTGAGATGGAACTTGGGATATTTGGTATATTTTAAGAGAAAAATGTTGAAGTCAATAAAAATTAATAGAATTAAGATGAGCTTAAAAAGTTATTTGAAAGACTTTTATTCCAAGAGTTGAGTGACTCTTTTATTGATAAAATTATTATTGATCAATTACAGTGCTACTTTGACTCTTATTGTCCAAAGTCGTTGTCATCCCATTATAACTTCCACAATTTTAGCGACATCTTTTTTTTTAAATTATTTTGACCAGTATCCCTCATCTGCATAAAGAGTTGTCATAAGAAAAATCATAGTATAGTGAGACTTCAGAGAATGAGATATCTTAATTAGAGATTTAGAGAAATGTATGATTGAAAAGAGGCTATTTAAGAAGGGAAAAAAAGCATCATCCATTTTTTTTTATATATAATTGCCTAATTGTTTTTTACAAAAGAGCAACATCTTAACTTTAGAATAAATATTCACACCACTTACCCAGATTGCTTGCTTAATGTATTAGACAACTCTTTTCCTAGTGTCTAATAACTGGTTTCTAGATCAATGAGTCATCATTTAAAAAGCCTGTATGTCCCTCATTTTTTATGCTAATTATAAAATCTCTTTCTATTTATGAGTTTATTCATAAGCATCAAATTATTTAACCTCACATCCACAAGTGAGTTCAAGTACTTACTTGGTAAAAATTTAAGGGAATTGATTACCTCTTTTTGAAACTCATCTATAAATATTTGGCAATTATTTTTTAATTTTATGTTGTTCAAAGGTAATTCAATTTTATCCTTTTAAATTTTAATGATAATAAAATAATGATGAATAAATGGGATGATAAACATTTTATTATTTTTACTCATGATAATAATAAAATAATAAAATAAAATAAAAGTGAGCAAAAATGAAACTAATTATTGTGTAAATTAATATAACAATTTACTTTATAAGAAGTGAATTTCTATAAAATAAAGGAAAATCATTGCATCTCATGTCAAATGTAATTTGCTTAAGAAGTTTAGATTCATATACTTTCATACATTGTATCATATATTCATAATTTCATAGAAACAAAATCAATATTAGAGTGTATCTTGAAAAATGAAACAATTATGCAATTCTCTTAAAAAATGTCGTGACATAAACAATATAAGTTATTAATTTATATGATCTAAATAATTTTTTTTGTAGTTTCATTTTATTAGCAATATAAGCTCTAAAATATTGGACATGTCTATAATAAAACAAAAAGGTGGCTAGCTTGTATAATTATAAGAAAGCTCACTGACAACCTTAAAATTTAACCCTTCATAGTTACAAAAGTTCTATCAAAGATATTCTAGTTAATGCTTAATTAGTCTTTATGTGTGAGAGTTAGATAAGATATTTTTCTTTATAATTTATATAACATTTGATCTTATTAAGATTCATAATGATACTTTGTATTCTTTGATGAAATATATCTCATTGGCACTAATTTTTTTGTTCTCACAAAAATCTTGCCATCTAATTTTATTTACCATTCAAGCCTTCAACATAGATGTGATTATCCACATTGATCACCATCAGCAATAATCTTAATGCCTAGAAGCTCCATGCATCCATTCATTAGTATTAAAGGTGTGATGACTAAATACAAATCTAAAAGAAACCATTGCTTAGTTCTTCATCTTTTAATCAACCAAAGGCCAAAATGACCTAAATTTAGGTGAGGTTTGGCTTGACACAAATCACATATATCCACTTCATGCTTTATAAAAGTATCAAAATGACATTGTCAAAGGTTTAATTACTACGCTCATTTAGGGCAAGGAAAAAACTTCACTCTAGAGCCTTTCATATAATTTAATTCTAAAAGAAAAGTTGTTCATTGCACACTTTTAAAATCTCAAAACACTCTGACATTTGAGTTAATGAAAATTTGTAAAAGCAAAATGTTGACCATTTGAACTCTATTTTCAGCAAATTTATCATGTATAATAAAAATGAGTGCCTCAATTATATGAAACTAATGATATTTCAAAGGGACATAAACATGCACTTAAATGTTCGATTGAAGACTTCACAAGACCATTTGAGAGATCAAATGATCTCTTAAATTTTATTACTTATAATCAAAATGAGATTCTCAAGAGCTAAAGATCACTCAATTGTGATATTATTAAAGTATTAAAATGCCTAAAACATATCACTAATTAAGAGGGATTAACTTGAATTGTTATATTAAGTCGTAATTTATGATAAAAAAATAAAATTACTACTAAAGTTCATATGTGTGACTTAATTCTATAAATTCAGGGAGGCTGAGAATCAAGATGAGAGATTTCAAGCACTAAAAACATTTCAGAACTCTACCTACTAACATTGATGACTAATATCAACACCAACATTGATGCTAGCCATTACAAGCAACATCGTTGTCACCATTCACCACCAAAGCTAACGACCATCATCGCCACTAACATCAATTTCAACCTTCACCACCAACGTTGATACCCACATTCATCATTACTGCCAGCACCTGTCATCACCAATAATAAGAACTCTCATCTCTACCTCCAACACCAGTGTCGTTTATTCCTAATAATTTTGATGCTCAGTTGCCTATCACATTAAATCAATTTTCATTTTTCCATCACCAAGGTGAGAACTTTCCATAGCCACCAAT